ATATATATATATATATATATATATATATATATATATATATATATATATATATAAAAAAGACTGCATGTCAACACCAAGCAACAGCTGGAAATATTTTCTATCTTTCCATGCTCATGTGTTGGGGCGGATCCCCATGCAGACCGATCAGTTTTGGATCCAGGAAAGGCAGCTGCTTAAATCAGAAGCTGTGATCAAGCTTCTATTGGCATTGCATCTCGTATTGACATTCCATGTGAGCCCTCTAAGCAAATAGTTTGTTTAATGTCCTCTCAGCTTATATACCAATTATTTATTTTGACACATCTATTTTTTTTGCAAAGCTGCCTATATTTCAAAGTAGGATTTTGGAGGGTTTGAATAGTAGCCAGAAAAACTCGCAAAATTGTACCATGTTTATTAATTTGTACTTTTGTAATATTCAGTAGAGGGTAAATTATAAAACTATAACCACTTCTGTACCAAATTCTACCTAAATATTATAACTTTTATTTGTTATTTCCATTGTCCAGTAGGGAACAGCAAGTCTAATATGTTGTCATAAAGAATAATTTAACTATTAAATATGAGATTAGGTGATTCTAATAAGAGTCACACACACACAACTGTATTATCCAAAGCAGAGCTTTGTAGTAAAGTCAGGGGTGGAGATATGGTAGATAGGAGGCCAGGGGTGGCCATGGCCACATATTTACATATTTTTGACCTAATTTAAGCTAAAATCTAAATTAGAAAAAATGAACTGATAAATTCAGCTTTTTTTAACATTTAGCAGATGAAAACTGGGATCATATCTCAATACCACTGAAGCTATCACGTTATTGTTATCAAATAATTAGTAAAACAGAGTTTTAAAGAAAAAAAAAAAAAGAAATCAGTAACCTTGTCTGTTCCGGCACAGTATTATGTCTTCAGTACAGGGGCCATAACAGGGGCCAGGACATGATCTATGGGGGCACTGGCCCCTGTTGGCCCCTATCTAGAACCGCCCATGCAGAGAAGACATTTGCCCCAGAAATTTTGTTCACTATATCTTTTATTTAGTCAGCACAGATGTTTAAACATATGCGTCTATTTGTTAGGAAAGGCTAGGGGAAAGTATAGTTAGTCTTTATTTCTAAAATATGGATGTTGTGGTCTTCCTTGATGCAACAGTGTAGATGCACCCTGAGGTTCTGGCCACCACTCAGTACATTGGTTATTGCCTGGCCCCCCTTATTAAAATGTTCTGGCTACGCCTCTGGGTAAAGTGGGGCTATGGGGGTATTTTATTTTGGAGGTTTGACCCAGCATTCTGGTTCAGTAACAGCTCTGTGGTCCTCCTCTCTCAGCAGACCTCAATAGTTGGCGGATGAGGGCGCCTCACCGCCGTCAGACACCCACAGTCTTTCTCTTATTAGTGCACGCGCGCCCCTCTGAACGGGACCAGATGATGAGCGCCAAATAAGACGAAAACCGTCCACGCGTAAAGTTCGCATCCGATTCACTACTTCGGTGATGTGAAAACCTCGAAGGAGGAGATTTTTCTACGAGTCGGGTCGAAAGGGAAGCTTGAGGAGTCGTGCCTGTTGGAGCTGGCGCTGACCATCAAATGACCAACTTCTAAAAAAGTCGCTCTGGGCTGTTCCTGCAGTTTCTCAGCTCGAAACCTCCGCAACAAGTAAGTTCTGACAGAGTTTGCAAAACGCATTGTTTCTGCGCTTGTGAACGCTAATGCACGTTTGGAAAGCATTAAATGCCAAACTTTCCCCCCCCACACACACATATTAAGCAGATTGTCGCAAAATCCCTTCAAGCACTTTTGTAAACATGAACGTGACAGCCTTTTGCAGTTTGCAGAGGAGAGACAATGTTAGTAAAAGCGAGGCTTGTTTTTTGGGGGAGAAAAATTCAATAAAAGTTTAGGGTTCTTTAAAAGTTGCTAGACGTGAATACCCATGTGTTGGTTTGGATGGATTGAACTAACTTTAGTATGTTTACAGTATATATATATATATATATATGTTATATATATTTATATTCTATATTTATATTATATATATATATATATATATATATATATATATATATATATATATATATATATATATATTTTTATTTATTTTTTTGTCATAAACCTCAAGTTACAATATTTTTCTTGTTATTGCTGTTATGGAGACATACATTAAATTAAACAATGGATACATGGAAACTAAAAGAAAATGACAGGTTAAAAGAATTATTTGCAAAATAAGAGCTGAGAAAAAAATGCATATGCATTGAATTCAGTATATCGTGGAACAACCTTCAATGTGTTTACTATAAGTTTAATTATTTAAATATGTGACTATTCTTTGCAGGAAAACTTGCACTCAGTCAGATTAGATGCAGAGCATCAGTTTTCTAGTTATGCCACATATTGTACCCTTTTCTATTTCGCATTTATGCATTCTGGATTTTGATTGGACGAGTGTAAGTGCATTCTTATTTTAATAGTCTTATACATTTAGACTCAAGCTGCATAGAGAAATAATGTAACCGCAATACAGCTGCTAAACAATCTTTTAACCAGTGCTAATTAGACAGACAGAAGTCCTCATTTAAAACACATTTTTCTCCTTTGCTTTCAACTCAGTTTTTAATTAATTTAACTATTTTTTTATCAGTTTTTTTTTTTTTTTTATTAGATGATTCTGGAGGTATTGTGTATATGCTACATCTGCTAAACACACGTGTGTTGTGTCAGTTTTATCACCGTGAAGCACTTTGGCCAACAGTGCTGTTTTAAGTTCATGATTTTGATTAACACACAGGATAATTGTGTCACTTTGCTTCTTTATAAAGCCCAACTCAATCTCTGAGTTTCAGCAGCTGATTACTAGAATTATGCATAAGTGACTTGCCTTAAATTGATCATAATTTAAGGCAAGTCAGGAGACTTCTAAAGATGTTTAACAATGAATTTGATAAAGTGCTATTCCATTAAAGGGGCCTAAAATGATATATAAGCCACACATTTTAGTTTTTTATTTATGAAGAAGACAAAAACAAAAAACAAAAATCTGAAAGCTACATTTTATTTAACTTCCATTTCACATTAGTGTCATACACAGTGCGAAATTGTCCTAATGTATCCCAAATATACAGTAGTACGTTGAGGATAGTGGTTGTTATGTTGGACTTGAAAAACAATTAAGGCTGTTAAACACTCCTGCAAAGCACTCTCGTAAAATCAAAACACTGTCGAGTTTTGACTTTACATTAGGACAAATAACCATTTAACTGCTGTGAAATTGTAGAACTTTCTGTCTCTGCTACGCAATTATTCATAACAGTTACTCAGTTCACTCAAAAAAAGTCATCATTTTTTATTTTGAAGTTTTCCTGAATACAGAGTAGAAATAGTGCAACTAGAACATCTAATCAATCAAGACTCTTATCCGATAGAAGACATACTTCTAAAAACGTTGCAAACATTCATCGCTGCTTAATTTAGCCTCCCATAAATGATTTACAAACAAATTAAAGCCACTAATGCAGGAAAGGTCGCTGCCACCCTGTATTAAATAAATTAGGCTGCATATTTGTCTCTTAAGTTCTCATTCTGGGCATATTTTACAATGAGTCATTTTCTGTTTACTTAATTCATAGATAATCATAAAAACAATTTTGGTGTTTTGGGTCTGATGGGAATGTTATTTTAAATTAAGTTGTTTGTCTTGTTGATATCCCTGGGGATATTGAGGTTTTTGCCATGTTGATTGCTTTATTTGATTATTACTATGCATCTATTTGATTATTACTATGCGTCTGCATGGAAGACTAAATGTATGTTAAAATAGAATAGCAGTGTGACATATTTTGGAACAAATGCAAACTGTTTTAGGTTTTGCATTTCTATTATAGATTTTATCCAGACACCTTTAATATTGTCATACAGATAGAGCTGAATGCAATTACCTATTTTAAGAACCATTTGTTCAGAAGCATATAAAGCCCAGCTGTTTCATAGCAGAACCCAACAGGCTGCTGACTAGGTTGTTTATAGAGACGAGGTAAGGTATTTTATGAGACATTTGTTCCATCAGTGTCTGTCTCTGCTAAAGAATATCTGTAATGTTCTACACGTTGTCTGACAGCTCAGCAGATCTATGAAAACCATTAGAATGAACATACTTGCATTTTCCCTCATCAGAAATCAGCTGCTAGGATGCAGAGAGAAATAGAGCCTCTATAGAGCAAATTAAAGCAACTTTATATCTGGGTTTTCTCTAGAAAACAATTTGATTGTTGTATTTTTAGGTATCTTTAGGAAGGTTTAACCTGAAAACACCTCATTTCTCTTAATTTGTGCAACACCTAGGTTTTAGTTGTTTAAAGCACCTTTAGCTTCTATTTTGTTTTCCCACTCAGCCATTTGTTGTCTGCAAAGAACAACGCCTGGAATTCTGCATTTGCACTGGAATGTTATGATTGCTGCAGCAAACTTTTCCCCCCACCTCTACTGGATTCAGGCTTTTAGATGTTCATTGTATACATCTTCCTTTCTCCTTTATGTGCATTACCCCCCCCCCCCCCCCAAACACACACACACCCATACACAGCTCTTTTTCTCTCTCACACAGTCGTGCATAGGGTTTTGCAGATGTGTGACCTGATCTGCTTCCAGTCGAGGCTCCTCTCATGCCAGTGTGCTGACTCTGAGTTTTCCACACTCTCTTATGAAATTGGAGTAGGAGACATTAGAACCATCCAGTAGCCAGGCTTGAATGGCTTGGAGCGCACACACATACATAAGCCCGAAGATACAAATACATGCGTCTGTGCATATGGACTCCCTGTGACTGCCTATATATCCTAATATAGGTGCACACTGAGGGAAGTAAACATACGTCAAACTGTCCATAGGCTATAAGGAGCAGCTGCAGCTTGTAGGTCTTTTGTTTGAGTCATACATAAAATCCAGTGGTGAAGAGTTATCTCTCTCTTTAAATGTTTATTTGAAAAACAGCTGGTGGGAAAGGAAAAAAGATACACTGTTTTTTTTATATAAAAATGAACGCTAAGAAGCTCCCTTGTTTTATCTCCCTTTATCTATGTGAGAAAAAGATAATTTGTAGATACTTTGGAGATTGTACCCCAAACAAGGTAAAAAGAACCAAAACATTAGCAGGAATCTACACAGAGGACATGCATACAGTACAGACAGAAATTTGTTTAAGTCATTAAATTTATACCTAAGGATTAGCTACTGTATAAACAAAAAGAAATTTAGCTTAAAAATTAAAATCATCTTGTAGAAGTCACCAAATTAATAGTCTCATCCTGTGTTTGATTTCATTTTTGTAAAAATGTAAGTCAATTTTAAACAGCATTTAAACTTATTGAACACCTTTCACTGCAGCTGTTTTACATTGATTTGTATTACCCTATCATTTCATAACCCTTAACGTATTTGTATTACATCTGCATGCAAAAAGTCATTATGATGAAACATATCATTAATTTATATAGGCTCTATAATCCATATACATTTTATAAACTTGTTTTAGAACAAATGATAAAGTGCAACAAAGTCAAATTTAACAATTCAGTTTTACAGGTTAACATGTTTGTTTTTATCAGTGTTTGGATAGGCTATAGTTGCTCCAATTTAAAGATAGCAAAGACAGAAATATATAGAAAACTAAGATAAAAAAAAGCCTAGAAAGTGGATCCTCAATATGGAGTTTTTGTTGTCATTTTTTCAGCTGAAGAATTGGATTAAGCATGTTAAATCTTTGTTGGAATCACCTCAGCTCTTGTCTGAGGTTAGCAGCGCTCAACCGGTTATTAAAATGCACAAGCCCATTTCTCCACATGCACGCTCTGTTTAAAAGTTGCCATTAGCATCGCTCATAAAGGCTTACTTTCCAAAAGAAACTTTGCAATTTTTCCACTATGTCAGACTCAACACTGGTAAGTGAAAAAGGGGACCAATCTCCAAGCTCCTCTAGTATATTGTATATAAGCTATATACCAGGAGATGCTGCAAAGGGTTGAGCTTTCAAACAATTTATGCTTCAGCTTTTTCTTATTTTTCGGACTTGAGATTTATTACTTTTTTTTATTTTGATATGACTGAAAATGTCTTGTTCATCATCACCTTTTGCTGTTTGAATAATATCACATGATCATGTTTCAAACACTTCACACTATAGAATGAGCATAATAGCATGTACAATGCTTGCTGAAATTCTATCTCACCAAAATTGGTATCAGTAAATACTCATAATTAACTTTATCTATTTTACACTGGAGAAATTGATCTCTGCATTTTATCCTCTTCGGGAGCAGTGGGCTGCTATTGTGCGACACCCAGGGAGCAGTGTGGGGTTAAGGGTCTTGCTTTGGGACCCATAGTGTAGGCTGTGGGGATCAAACCGTGTACTTGCAATCTTCTCAGAACACAAGCGCACTGCTCTAACCACTAGTCCAGCACTCCCCAAGGAAAATGATGAAGAAACGCACAAAGGTGCAATAATAGTATTGTCCCACATTGGACTCTTAGCCAATCGTTACAGCAGTAGCAGGGGTGACAAATCACATTCTTGATTTGTTTTACAACTAGCGGAGTTAAAAGATAAATCTCATTCTTACCAAAGCCGGTCAGGAGGAACGCGCAAACATATCTTGCATCCA